GTGTATGTATGTCTGTGTGTATGTGTGTTTGTATGCATAAACCCTATGCAACTGTACGAGCTGTCGTACATACCTTCAGGACTCGATAGGTAGAGGAGTGCTTTCTTTTCGTCTGCGTCTTCGGTATGGTCTGCCAGAACCCTTAGAAACCCCTTAATTGCGCAAAAACACATATGGATATACTTCAATGAATGATATCAAATAGGCTAAAATAGGCATATCTTTCAGCTGGGTAAAATGTAAAAATATAATAAATGGTACTATTTTGGTTCAAATTTTATATATATTGGAGCTATCGAAAAGGCTACAATGGTATTATTATATTTCAAATGGGTATGTTGGAGCCGTTGGAAAAAACAGAATTCTATAAATAGAAATATACAAGAAAAATTACTTGTTTAAGTATGCATGAACTGTTGCAAAGGTTGCAATTAATATTTGGGAGCATCCATTCAAGTGCAAACTTACAATTAAATGCATGTGTGGCTTCTGCAAGGAAATGTGTGGACACGCATGAGAAGGGGTTTGTACGCACACATGTATATAGGCCCGTTTACACACTCATACAATACACACAGACACATCCACACCAGCACACACACAAAAACACTAGAATTGCCAGATCCCATGCACACCTGCCGAGGAATGGTATTGTACATAATCTATGACAGCATGATACACACACACTCACACACTCTCACACACTCATTCACAGATACACATGCACACACACACTCACTCACTCACTCCTTTACTCCTCCAATCTCTCCATACACTCACTCACTCACTTACCCACTCACGCACGCACGAATGCACTCACTCACTCACTCACTCACTCACACGTACACACACATAGGCACACACACACAAACACAAACTGGCTCGCTTGCAGAATCACTCAAATAGATACTCACCCACTCTTTCAGTCATACACACACGCACACACACACACTTACTCACTCACACTCACTCAATCATACCCATTCACCACACGCACACACATACACTTACTCACTCACACTCACTCAATTATTCCCATTCATTCACACGCACACACGCACACTTACTCACTCACACTTACTCAATCATTCCCATTCACTCACACGCACACACACACGCACCTGCCGAGGGATCTTTCGTATGTCCACGTGGTGCTGCAGACACATGCGCATTGTTTGACAGCCCAGCAGATGCACCGGGAGGTCTCTGCGCGATGTGTCGTTGCGTAGCCGAAGCAGTACGGCGGAGTCAAGCGAGGCTGAAACACCCAACGCTTTGACAAGAGAGTCGATTTCTCTATATATAGTGATTCGAAGTACGAATATGGGTGTGTAAGTATACATATGACTATACTAAGG